CCTGGGATGTGGGATGGGACCGGGGTGTCCCCGTGTCCCCAGGGATGGGAAAAGCCACACTGGGGTGTCACCATGTCCCCAATGCTGAGGAGGTTTGGGGTGCCTGGGATTGGGATGTCCCCATGTCCCCAGTACTGGGAAAAGCCACCCTGGGATGTCCCCATGACCCAAACATTGGGAAAAGCCACCCTGGGGTGTCACCATGTCCCCAAAGCTGGGAAAAACCACACTGGGGTGTCACCATGTCCCAAACATTGGGAAAAGCCACCTTGGGGTGTCCCCAAAGCTGGGAAAAACCACACTGGGGTGTCCCTGTGTCCCCAGGGCTGGGAAAAGCCACCTGGGGGTGTCACCATGTCCCAAACATTGGGAAAAGCCACCATGGGGTGTCACCATGTCCCAAACATTGGGAAAAGCCACCCTGGGGTGTCACCATGTCCCCAGGGCTGGGAACAACCACCTTGGGGTGTCACCATGACCCAAACATTGGGAAAAGCCACTCTGGGATGTCCCGGTGTCCCCAAAGCTGGAAGAGCCACTTTGGGGTGTCCCCAATGCTGGGAAGGACCACCTTGGGGTGTCACCATGTCCCAAACACTGGGAAGATCCACTTTGGGGTGTCTCCATGTCCCCAAAAGTGGGGAAAGCCACCTGGGGGTGTCCCCGTGTCCCCAATGCTGAGGAGGTTTGGGGTGGCTGGGATTGGGATGTCCCTGTGTCCCCAAAGCTGGGAAAAGCCACCTTGGGGTGTCACCATGTCCCAAACATTGGGAAAAGCCACCCTGGGGTGTCCCTGTGTCCCCAAAGCTGGGAAAAGCCACCTTGGGGTGTCACCATGTCCCAAACACTGGGAAAAGCCACCTTGGGGTGTCCCCAATGCTGAGGAGGTTTGGGGTGGCTGGGATTGGGATGCCCCAATGTCCCCAATACTGGGAAAAGCCACCTTGGGGTGTCACCATGACCCAAACATTGGGAAAAGCCACCTGGGGGTGTCCCGATGTCATCAACACTGGGAAGGGCCACCCTGGGGTGTCCCCATGTCCCCAAAGCTGGGAAAAGCCACCCTGGGGTGTCCCCTGTCCCCAACTCTAATGAGGTTTTTAGGGGTTCTTCTGGAAACCCCTTCTTGTAGGGAAACCCTTTCTTTCGGGCCAAAACCTTTCCTTTTGGGGCCAGAAATCTTTCTTTTGGGGGCTGGAAACTTTTCCTTTTGGGGACCAGGAACCCTTTGTTGGGGGGCTGGNTTCTTTTGGGGGCTGGAAACTTTTCCTTTTGGGGACCAGGAACCCTTTGTTGGGGGGCTGGAAATCCTTTTTTTGGGGGTGCTGAAAGCTCCCCCTTTCCTTGTAGGGAAACCCTTTCTTTTGGGGCCAAAACCTTTCCTTTTGGGGTTGGAAACCTTTTCATTGTGGGCTTGGTGACCCTTTGATTTTGGGGCCAGAAAGCCATGGTTTTGGGGCTGGAAACTCTTTCCTTTTGGGGCTGGAAACCCTTTCTTTTAGGGCTGGAAGCTCTTCCTTTTGGGGCGAGAAACCCTCTTTTTGGGAGCCAGAAACTCTTTGTTTTTGGGGCCAGAAACCCTTTTTTGGGAGACCAGAACCCCTTTTTTTGGAAACCAGAACCCCTTTGTTTTTGGGGTCAGAACCCCTTTTTTGGGAGCAGGAAACAATTCCAGGTTTTCCCCTCAGAGCTCAGCCCCAGGATCCCACCCAGAGCCCCGTAACCCCATAAAGAGGAGGGGTGGGA